CTCCATTTAATTAGTGCGTAATGCCCGCCCTCCACTCTGACCCTTCAGTTAAAAGAAAAGCATACGCTGACAGGTAGGCGGCGATATGCGGTGATCCACGCTCAGATCCAGATCCAGATCAGATTAATGTAGAGAGAATACTCAGTATAGTAGACATCGAATATCATTACATATTTACAGGTACTTAAGTCTTTAATCTAGGGCTCACGATCAATTACTATATTATACGTACATGAAAAGTAGCTCCCCAAAAATCGCTGACATACGGGTACGTATTTACACAGGGTAATGAATGCCTGGTTCAATGTAAGTAAAAGTAATGACAGCTGGTTTACATTGCCATGGCCTGATCATGGTCATTTGATCATTGAATCAATGAAGGCGTACATACCGCAGCTAATATATGAACTGGCCGCCTCTGAAGCACACAGAGAAAGGAAGACAAAAGAAAGAAAATTCTCTAAGTAGACTCACGCCTCCCTCGTTCAAATTGGTGACGTCGCTAGTTATCCAATTCTCATGCGACTCTCATTCCCAGCGACACATCATGCTCTAAAACGTACAAGAACTGCCATCTGCCGCGTTCCGAAACCCTCGTACCTTAGATTGCATACATGTGTATTCTTGGGTCGGATCTGCGTTCTAGGGCCAGCTTGACAGAACCATTGACAAATAAGAATACAGAACATCGAATTGTAAGATTGGCGATTCGCTCGGGAATACATTACAAGACGTAAAGCATTCCGAAGAGTAACATGAGTTTCCAAGAGGGATTCTGGAAGAGAAATCAGACGGAACGGAATATAGAGGCGGTCCACTGTCGAATCACGGCGACGGCTACGGAAATATTCCGTGCGTAATATTGTGCTTCGGAAGTAGGTAGGTACATAGCTTCTAACTTCTGGTCTGCGCGGTGGAATTCGAAGCTGAAGGGTTGAAAAGGAAGAGAGAGTTAGGCGATGGACGTCTACGGTACTCAGGAGATTGTCGAGTTCGCGCTTAAAGACCGACTTGAGCTTGATCATGCGTTTATAACCGCTAAGTATTTAAACCGTGTGGCCAGAACACCAGCAAGCGCCTTTTCTTCTTTCTTTTTACTGAAAGAAAATAGTAATGCTTACACAATAAATTAAATATCACACAAATAAACACAGCTGGTCTTCCTGAGGCAGAATAGAATTCCTGAATCATCATTGACAATAGCAACAAACGACGACTCACAAGCCCCATTCAACATGCATGTGCATGACCCGAACCCCAAGGTCATTCAAACTGTGTGCTCATAGATGATGCCTTACAACCGCGAATATCTATGTACAGTCTGGCGAGAACACGTTGTATAAGCATGCACACATGGCAAACTCCGTCATATCGCCGTCCGTCCGTTATCCCACAACATGTTCTACGGGAAATGACGAGCCTAGGCCTACTAAAGTGATCAAAAATACTACTGTCGAGGCGGCACCGTACTTAATGAGTACTCATTGTGCTTTGTTCACCCTCTAACGGTCTTCTAATATGATAATGCAGCTGTTGCACATTCCATAACATATGCATAAATATTAACATAGCTTCTAATTGTTGCACGCAGCACGGGAAATAGCGGTCGTCGTCGCCGTCACTTCATAATCACCCTTCACCGTTAATGTCAGCTAGAGTCCTGCATGTACATCTAGCCTGATATTGCCGTACGCACTTTTAACGTCGGAATAGCACGCAGCACGGGATGTAGCGGCCAGTCGTCCCTATCACTGTCACCATCCTCGTCAACGTCAACTTAATCAAAAAAAAAATGGGTCCTGTCAAACTTTGTGCACCTCTATGAAGTGAAGGCGCTGTTTGCCCGGGAATCAGCGTGATCTTGAAGGGCCTTGATTTTGAACACAGCGGGGGTGGCTATTTGGGGTAATGGGTTCACGGTAACTATTTCTATGCCAATGGTAATTTTTTGGGCCACCAGAAATCAGACTTGGCAAACCGCAAACAAACACACAGCAAGCTCGATTCAGATTCTTCTGAAGAATCCTTATTTAAGCATACGGGCACGGGAATCCGCGTGGGCACCATGTCTATTCTTACCCTAAATATGCATCCTGGTGTTTTTACTTGTTTGTAAGGGTAAATCAACGCCACGAGCGTCGAGCATGTACCCCGCATCAATTGAGTCTTCTATGCCTATGCTAGGCTATGACTTCCATACGGGAATCAGCGTGAGCACAATCACAATCACAATGCCAACGACAAAGGACCCCAGATCCGAGCTTTTCGCACTATTCTTATTTTTAATCCACATCTGTCTTTTTTTTTTTGGCGGGTCAGTGTAAATCGGACAACTAGTAGTAATACTTGGCATGCACGGACTTCTATACGGGAATCAGCGTGAACACAAGACAAATATACTACAATGCCAACTGAGCTCTGACTCAGAGCTCTTCGTACTATTCTTATTCCTTCCCGAGTCTGTCGTTTTTCTAAGACGAAATCAACTTGGCGGGTAAAATCAACTTCTATACGGGAATCAGCGTAAGCTCAGCCAAGGTGATTTGGCAAATTCAAAGTTCAGATTGGATGCGGATTCGGATTTGGATTCCTCAAGCTGTGCCCGTGCGTAGACGGGCTAAATGCTTCTATCTTTTTCTTTCTGCCTTCTGAGAGTGAGACCGCTCAGTGTAAATCAGACCAATACTGGGATATTATTTGGCATTGTCATGTCAAGATGCATTAGGGAATCAGTGTGAGGTGAGATGAATTATCATTAGAGCTTAAACTATTCTTACTCTTAGATAGGTTTAGACTGAGTATTATTCCTGTTAATGATCTAAACCTGAGTCCTCGTCAAAACACGCACAACCATACATCTATTTACAATTAGTGTTTAGAACAGAACAAGGTTTCGATGCGGGATTCAGCGTGGCTTGCTCGTCACAGTGAAGTCAGCCAGCGCAACGCGACACTACCTATTCTTACCTCCGTAATCTATACAATTCGGGTGTTCCCCTGCTAGTGCACACTTATTCTTACTTACCACCTCCATATTGAGCCGCTACTTTTCTTCGACTCAGTCTGTAAGCGTAGGCAGAACGTAAATTAGGCAACCCCAATTGAAATTTGAAGCAAACACACAATGCACACGCGTTAAAAAAATCAATTTCTATGCGGGAATCAGCGAAGACGAGGTAGCCTAGTATCCTCAAGTAGTACATAAATTAGACAACTTCAAATTGAAGCAAAGACGCACGGATCAAAATATGCGGGAATCAGCGAGGACTCGGAGGTAGCTAGCCAGTGAATGGACGGACTTTGACGGACTTCGACCTGTCTTTGATCATCGAAATTGAAATCCTACTCAATTGCACGCTTATACCTTCATGATGACGATGCCTGTGTTCGTATTTTGATATTGACTTTGATTTTGATTTGAGGGGGGGTAATCGAGATTCGAGCCCTGAGCGTGGACGCATATAGCGTGACGTCGATGGCGATGGCGATGGTAATGGGTGAAGTGTTAAGCCGCTTCAAGGTAGGATGCCATTGGCGGACGAAATGGTAGGAAATGGTTAACGTCATAGTGGTAATTCGTGATTATCTACTGCTATATAACTACTGACACCACTAAAGGTGTCCAGGAAAATGGAATTCTGACTCACAAGGTACACCACAGTGTAACCAGCGGCACGGCAGCCCCCACTCTTGGTCCAAGCCCTCTGGAAAAGCGCGAAAATCAGCGCTCCTCGAAGCTTCAACTTATTGGGATAATACAGGACCCTGTATACGCGTACAAGATCTGTATGATTTCCCAAACATCAATCTTGCGGAAGTGGATTAATTGGAACTAACATGTACTCAATTGAATTCCTACGCTTATGCAGAGAAATCAGTTACGCCGGATGCAGTTGCAACCTGCGGGTATTTTAATAGAATTAACTCATTTGGAGACATCGAGGTGTATTTTCGTAATGGTGGTATTACTTGGTGAGCGAATGAGTAGTATAGTGACACTCCCCGAATCCGAAGTCTCAGAAGTCACCCATCTATCCTTGTCGATGCGGCAACGCAAGGTCAGAGCTTCAAGTTCCCGTCGACGATTCAGGACCCTGCCCTATATACGCTTGCAAGATCTGTACGCTTCCCCACCTCTCCAATCTTTCGGAAGGGGATAGAAGTGGATTTAACATATACTGTTTTATCCGCTCAATTGAATCCCTACGCTTGGTAGCTTGACTCTTATGCGAAAAAATCAGGTACTTACGCCGGATGCATTATTATACCCTCGGGTCTTTTAAGATAATAAAATAGACTCATTGGACTTGACTCGGAAATTGACGTGTGTGGTCTAAGTAATGGTCAGCCTTGTCGAGTGCAAGTGAGTGAGTGGTCTAATAACACTCAGGCTCCCCGACGCATTCCCCCGGTCTAATCACTCAAGCTTTGGAGATTGATTCAACGCTAACAGAGGTTCAATCAATCTCTTTCCAAAACTTCAGGTTCATTTATTTAATTGGAGTGGCACCGTGACGATTCAGGACCCTGTATACACTAGCTTATTAGATCTGTACGGTTCCCCAACTCCTCAATCTTCGGAAGTAGATAGAAGTGGATTTACCGTATGCCCCATATACCATGTTATCCGCTCAATTACTTAGAATAGGCTTCCTACGCTTATCTTATGCGAAAAATTTACGCCGGATGCAGCGTCATTTGCTAGAGGCGGATCCTTTGAAATAATAAACTGGAATAAATTCATTGGACACTCTCTAGCTGTATGATGGATGATATTCTAGGGATATTCACTGCCAAGGGGTTTCTCTCGATTTATAAATTATAACTAATTCACAGTTCAATGCTGCTTATCAGTATTATTTGAAAATACCCGACACCTCAGGCTGAGTGCCGCTGAAAAGAGTGAGGTCCATTGGGACTAAGTATCCAATCATCCATCATGTCAATCTACTCAAGTATGGTAGCCAGTCAATTTCGTGACGGATTTAGTCAAAATGTATGGGCTTACGCAGGGGTCGAACCCGCAACCTGGAGAAATGAGTTTCTCACACAAAAATCTCTTGCTCTACCAATTGAGCTAGCAAACCAACATAATAATAATGTGAGATAGCCGGGTAAGGCTAGGGCGGAGCTGTGAAACTCGCTCTTAAATATGCTTTTTTCGTGTTTATTCTTCGGTAATGCTCTTGAGCTTGGTCTCTTTAAAATCACTTAGAGTAATGTTGTATTGCAAGTGGCCCAGTCAAACATACTACGGTACAACGGTGCTACCAAGTGGTGGCACAAATTGATCTGAGTCGCCCTTCCGGTCTGCCGTAGTTGCTCTACTATTGGGTTCGAATAAATAAATAAAATAAAATAAGCATGCTCAGGCTGCTGGACTTCAGTTGTTGCCAGTGAGTGACTCACCTACTTCAATGCTCTCTAAGCTCATAGTTCACCCATGCTCCAACACAAGGTATTTTATATATAAAATAGCTCACTTATAGGCCTATTCAACATTACCCTCAGAGTCATCCTCACAGTCCAGCGCACCCCATACCCTTAAAACCAAATTAAATAAACATTAACCCCGACCCTAGTCCTAGACACACAACCCCTCATCTCCACCCTATCGTATCACTACTAAGGCCCCATTAAATTCCAATCGACTGCCAGCAGCTCAGTACCATTGACCCAGATTTAATGACCAGAGTCCAGACTCATGGCCAAATACCCTCCTCTTGGACCTCCTATGTGGTACATAAGCCAGGCACCCCACCCTCTCTATGCGTCAATTATGCGTTATGCGCATATATATATATTATTTATTGATTAGAGGAGTGCCCACTCACGAGCTGCCACATTTGCAATATGGAAGCAGCACTCGGAATATGGGAGCTATTGGAAGCACGCCGAATATGTCAATGTATACAGGGCGGAAGCACGCTGAATTCGTAATATGTATGCGGGATGTGGAAAGCAGGATATTATGAGATTCGCTGGTGATCGCTGGTGACTAGTGATTGATGTTGAGTGGTGGGCGGCCTAAGTAGTAGCAGGCACCTCCGAACTCAGTGGCTCTAAGGGTCAGAAGTACAGATGGTAAGTATTCGATGATGATTGATAATGACATCGATATCGAGTGGTGGCACTGCCAGTGTAGCAGGCACCTCCGAAGCTTAGTGACTCTGAGGTTCGGAAGCACATATGGTGAGTATTCGCTGATGATCGATAATGGGGTGGTAAGTAGCACTGTAGCAGGCACCTCCGAGCTTAGTGGCTCTAATGGTCGGAAGTTGGGACCGAATCCTCATGATCAAGCTCAGGCTGAATCGAGACGTCCTAAGGCGGTGAAAATCTCAGAAGCCTAACCGACATTGACAACTCGAAGTGCACGGGTGCAACATCATCAGCATACAGAGATGGAGATTACAGCACTTATACATATGATATGTTTAATATTTATTATCTTTATATTTATCTTTATTTTATTGATCTGTCAATGCCCGTATGAAGATGCACGCCCTTTACTTTTGGGGAAAGGGATGTAATATGTAATACAACTAAGAAAATGCTTATGCCATGCCGGGAACGGAATGAGAAAAGGAGGGAGAAAAGGGAAATACAAAATATACAGAGTGTGTGCGTGTGGTAAGGTAGGATAGGTGTTCAGTCTCGGTGTCCTGTTTACTCTCTTTGTTCTGCTCTGCTCTTCCCGAGAAGTCACTGCCGCCGTCTCGACTCGCGCCGTCTCCATCGTCTCGTCTCGTCATCGCTCGGTATAACGAGATGTGACCACGGCCCCTCTGCGCCTCTGTCCATCGTCTGTCCGTCCCGCGGCACCTCCTAAGTAGTCAAAATCCACCTCACATCACTCCTACGACCCATTCCCGACAACCCCACACTCCCGCACAACGATCTTCGCGCTCGGTCTCCGCGAGATATGATCCGACGCATAGCTCTGGATCCGGTACACGATATCCATCCCGTCGAGCACCTCGCCGAAGACGACGTGGCGGCGGTCGAGCCAAGGGCAGGGACAAGAGGTTATGTAGAACTGTTGGGAGTTAATAGCGTTAGCGAGTGTGTGTAGGTTGGGATGTGGGGTGAAGGCGATGTGGGGAGAGGGGGGTTATGCGGGAAGAGAGGAAGGGGACGCATATAATGAGGGTACGAGATGGGTGGGGTATACGGATGAGAGAGAGAGGGAGGAGGCAGCGCATGACGGAACACAAACACACCTGGGACGAATTCGAGTTAGGACCGTGGTTAGCGCTGGCGAGGAGGCCGGCTTTGTTATGGCGGACGCGGAAGGTTTCGTCTAGCATAGCCGCGGATGCGAGTGAAGGCGGGGTGTGATGATCGGTGGGGTGGAATGTAAAGGGGATAATAATGATGCGGTGAAGGATAATAATGATCCGACGAAGAAGATAACGCGGTGAAGATGTTAGTGGAAGTGATGATGGCGGCAGAATGTATGCTCACCTGAAAACGGCCTGCTCCAGATACTCCGTCCGCCTGTCCCGTCTCCGTTCTCAAAGTCTCCTCCTGGGTGGGGTGAGTGTGTGCGGGGGGAATGCATAGGGGTTAGACGAACCTTGGACCATGAACTGTGGGAGGGACGTTAGCTAGTGTGGGGGGAGAGGGACGTTGGGACGTACATCAGCGACGCGGTGAAAGATGGAGTTCTTGTATCCAAAGCCGTGTTGCCCAGTCGCGAGCTCGCGGAAGTTGCGGGATGTCTTGGGTGCGATGTCGTCCTGGGGGTAATGGGGTTAGCGGAGGAGAGAGGGAGAGAAAGAGAGGACGCACGTAGAGACGAAGCACGATACGACCCGCGTACTCGTTGTCGATGTCAATATCTAACTGGGGGGTCGTGAGCAGGGGGTGATGAGGAGAGTCGTAGCACGCACATAGACATCCGGGCTGCGAAGAACGATGAGCACGGTATAAAGCAGAACACAGACGACTCACGGGGGTGCAAGGACGGACATGTAGGTGAATGCTGGACGGGGATGTAGACGTTCACGGGAAGGGGCTTATAAGGGGCGTCGATTCATGGTTTAGTTTATGTTGTCGAGGTATGCATGGCGGCAGGATCCATGGACTTGATTTCCGGTACGATCCTCTCTCGACTCGACATTCGTGCGAGCGGCCAACTCCGCCGGCAACCCCCGCACTGCCACCGGAAGGGCCCGTCAGCGTTTCCCGTACCGACGGCAGCACCCGCCGAATACATAGAAACAATTCCAATATTTATTCCATCCATCCTCATTATGTAAGGTGTATGTAATCCCCGCACACTGCCCAATCAGCGCGGCTTCCCGGCATCTAAACCAGCATCTCATGGGAACACCCCATGTGCCTTACCTAGACTCATTCTATTCAGTCTCCAAGCTCTCTTACCTTTCCACCCCCTATGTTTGTGGCTGCCAGGGTTGCAGAACAATTCATACGCGTGCTTGGCTGCTCGCTCTGGCTCTAGCTTTATTAATCTTTCCTTCTATGCTCGTCGGGCGGAAAGAAAAATATCCAGCGCAACTCGAGGCCCACCCGAAGCTCCTTGTGAGCCATATACGCCGGCAATCTGTTGTGATTGTACAGTGGTGGCGAGATTCTGGCAAGATGAGCATACCACATACCACGAACCAGGTGCATAGTACGTACTGACAGCCACTTCCACGTCCTTCAGCCACACCGTTTATAATTTTACATAGGTTTATCCCCCTGCTGCGCCGTCTAGGTTCTTTGCCTTCATTGACTGGGTGGTACTCCATTCGCTTGGCAGATTCTGCATGACCACCTCAACGTTCAAACCTTACCACTCATTTAACCACTATGACCACGTTCACCGCCTTCCATATTCACTTCACCCGTACATACCCCAAACGACCAAACGGCTCTCTTGGCTCCCTAATGAGTGCTCGGATGCGCTTAACAGCAAACTTAAATCCAGCCCCGACGATTTTCAACAAATTCCCTCGCTCTATACTGTGCCTATCTCAGGCTACTTATTGCGGTGTACCGCGTTGATCCTGTCTTCTACTCGTCCTGATTTTTCCTAGCCTAGCATGCCAAGTCGATACCGGTACCAACACTTCAAGTGACCTTACGTTTTACCTCAACCAGCCTATTGGATGCCCTTGTTCAAATCATGCGAGGGTTCTAGATCTAATACCTCTACGCTTGCCTCCTTTAATCGCTCACTACCACTAAATAAGCAGTTTAAACCAATCCCTTCTCCTTGGTAGGTTCGACTTCCTACCCTACCACTGAGTCCTGACGCTTCTTAGTAGCCCATATGCCCATTCTGATACAAGCCCATTATCCTGGATATCCTACCCGAGTCTGAATCCGATGTGCGCGTCCCTATAATGTCTTCTTTTTTCTGTCTTCTCTTCTCTTCTCTTCGCTCATCGATCGGCATCTTCCATCCAAGGCTTTTATTTCGTGTGCTTCCTTCTTGCTGAGCCCGGGTATCATGAAATGAGTAGCACCGACCCCGCAGGCTCTCTTGTCATCCTGATCATGAATTCGCCGGATGGTTCTGCTCAGGTCAACCAAAATCCCCGTCCCATATTCGAGAATGATATCCAACCGTCTGATTCCTGAATCCTACCTAGCCTAGTAATTCATAAATAGATCACATATACCATTCCTAAAACGCGTCTGATTCTCTGAATCCCCTAGTTACTTACGTACTCATGTCCTGTGATAATTTTAATCACTTAATGCCAGGTCAGGTGGCGTCCTGCTCCATTTCCGTTTGGTTTAGCCCACCCATCCCTCAGCTTCGCTGAACCCTACTAGTACTTGACTTCTTTAAAAAATACTATTCCTAAAGCGCTTTTGATTTCCCCACCACTCAACCACTTATTGACTTCTATGCAGCTAATTACAAGTAAGGTTTACTAGCCGGTCCATCCCATCCATTCGCTGAATTCACTAGACTTCTTCAAAAAATATAACTATCTCTAAAACGCGTCTGATCCCCACTAAGTACTTCCTTTCTTCCTTCTTTCCTTCTATGCAACTGATCTCGCTCACTGCTACTGCTTAATCAAATCAAATCACGTCGAGTGAATTCAAGTCAGGTGGCGTTCCA